CCATGTGCGGCGGCGGCGGCTGGGGCGGCGGCGGCTGGGGCGGGTGGTGGTGATGGTGGTGGTGCGCGGCAGCGTGATGGTGGTGGTGCGGGTGCAGGTGCCCTCCGGGCCCAGCGCCTGGCGCGCCCTTGGCGCTTCCCGCGTGCAGGTGAGTGTGGTCAGCGCGCAGCACCTTGAAGCGCTTTCGGCGCCTCAGGAAGCTGCCGTTCTCGAACATGTCGCCGCAGTCGGGATGCAATGCCCAGAAGCTGCCCTTGCCGGGCTGGTCGGGCCGCCGCGGGATCTTGATGAAGCAGTCGTTGAAGGAGAGGTTGTGCCGGAGGCTGTTCTGCCAACGCTGCGTGTGCTCGCGGTAGTAGGGGAAGCGCTCCATGATGAACTTGTAGATGTCGCTCAGAGGCAGCATCTTCTCGGCCGAGTGCTGGATGGCCATCGCGGTCAGCGAGATGTAAGAGTAGGGCGGCTTTTGGTCGCTGTACGAACTCTTCCCCGGCCGCGGCATCGCCCCTGGCGCATCCGCCTCCCTCTGGCTCACAGTGGACCGCAGCGTCGCTCCGCACCCCGCTCCCGGGGCCTGGTTGTCTCCACTAACCCCCACTCCGCCCTCCCGGACCCGCCACCCCGCCCTCTTTCCCCCCTAGACCCTCGCGCCGTTTCTCTCCCGCCTTCTCTCAGCGGCCTGCGGCCTCCGCGCTTAGCCTTTTGACCCAGTTTAGCAATCCGACGCTCGCAACTTCTGGCCCCGACGGTCGCCGACTGGCGCGCACAGTCGCGGGCGGGGCGCGCCAGCTTCACCGCCACCCTCTCGGCGTCTTCCCGCGGGTGGCCAGAGGCTGAGCGTGGGAGCTGGCGGAGAAGGAGTGGGGAGGGCCCTGTTCCCTTCCGGCCTCCTCTTTGCTTTTTCTTGGGCCGAGGGAAGCGCCCGCCCAGAGAGCTGGGAGGAAGGACTGGGCAGTCAGGACTCTAGCCCTTTAAATCGAGTTGGCGCTCGTCCAGGAGGCCGGGGGCGGCGGGAGTTAACAGTGCCTTGAGCGCTGCCCCTTGACCAGCCACTTAGTCCGCTCTGGAGTCCTCGTGTTCCTGGAGGGGAGAGGCGCGGTAAGGAGAAGGAAGCTCGGCTCCAGCAGCCCGCGTCTCCCTTTTCTCCGGCGGCTCGCAGCGGAGACTGGGATAGCGCTGTAGGCGGTCGCCTGGGGGGAAAAAGTTTAGTGGTTTCTGCTGCGGCGGCGCCTGCGGGCT